CTAAAGCGAAATGTAGCAGGCCCATAATCATTTTCGAAAAGGAGCCCCAAGGCTAGAAAACTATTATTGACAATACTTTGTGGTTCACAGTCTGGCCAGAAGTTATTTTAGTTGTTTAGACCAATACTGCATTATTTTGCTGATCATCTCGTTGAGGATCACCAAATTTGGGTTATTAAACCGATATTAGCTTGAAACTAGAAGACTCAGTGGCCGCTTACCTGAAGCTGTTTACCGGCACTGGAAACATCCGTTCTCCAAATATCCGGTTCGCCTGCACTAGAAACGTCCATTTTCCAGATAACCGGCAGAGTGCCCTTGCTTCGTTCCTTCCAAAATTCCCTACCAAATCTTTGATCACTCCGTTTAATCCTGTAAACATTGCAGCGATAATTGTGTAATTGACCCGGTGGCTGTTTGACGTGAAACTTTACCGTCTGTTGAGCTGTTCTTCCGAATTATCGTGTTTTAGCGCCGGACCATCGTCAGTGCCTTGTTCCGCACTTGATTCCTGCACCAAATCAACTACCTCTACAAGCGGCTCGTACTTTTGGCTAGGACTTCGATTTAATATCACTGTTGTCCTGGTTGAATGAGGTGCCGATGTGGTACTATATATTTTGGTGGTACCTAAATCAATCAAAGATTTGAATCGATCAAATTTTCAGCTTTTTACCTACGAGAATCAAAAGTTTGGATCAAACAAAAGTTTTGATTCAAATAGGCCGAGAGACTGATTTGCCTTCTTTCGCTATTAAAATAACACACTGCGGTCAAAAATTATTGGTACCCGCACCAGCGGGCTCGTGCGATCATGCGTTTTTGCAGTATTTCGAGCTGTAGTGAAATCGTTTGGAATCCCAGTAGCCAGAAATTGACCCTTAAATTTCAAAATGTTAATTGCTGGACAGAGAATATTCCATCAAAATTTTAGCATTCCAGCTTTTCTGATTCCCGAGTTAACAATTTTCCCGCCAAAAAATTCAGGGGTCCGTGCATGAAAGCCCTAACAAATTGCTTCTGTCGGAAGGAACGGCCCTGCTGCGAATCTTTAACGGAATTTGTGTTAGGAATGCCAGCAAGTCGACTACCAGACGACACAGCGTTGGTCAAAACAACCAAAAAGTTACCAACTGCTTAATAAGTCAATGAAATATAAAATGCGTCTAATCAAAGTACCAGTGTTTTGAAAGATTTTATATAGGTTTAAGTGAAATTACGTAAAATACCTTTGCTATCGAAAATGCGAATAGGATTTCGCCACCAATTCATCTTTGATGTCTCACCTCGTACATTTTGAGTTTCATCATGCAGTAAATCTTCATAGGCGAAAATAATTTCGTTGCTTTTATTTGGTTTAATATCATTTAGCTGCGCTTCATCTAACGCTATTGACACTTCGTTCTGGAAAATACGCACCGATCCCAGATTTAACCTTGATCGTGGCAGCCTCTGTCGCAACGTATCGTTTCTTTTGTGGCTCTCCAAACCGAGAGACTGATTTGTTTTAATGTTCTTAGAAAAGGTTTTGTTCCCAGGAAAACCTGACTTCACGAATGTCATTTCATTGGTGA